CTGGGTAACATTTAGTTAGAGACTCAATATTAACACAAAATTTATTTGGAAAACAATAAAGCATTTGTTATAAGATACCCCTAGATTAATGATCTGTAATATGGCTGAAATTGAGCAACTTTCAAAATAGCATTAAAGATATTTTTTACTTTTTTTTTTAAGATTTATTTGAAAGGCACAGTTACACACATACACACACACAGAGAGGCAGGTAGGGAGAGAGAGATCCATCAATCTTCCATCTGCTGGCTCATTCCCCAAATGGCTGCAATGACTAGGGGTGGGCCAGACCTAAGCCAGGAGTCAGGAGCTCCTGCAGCTGGGTGCAAGGGCCCAGGGAGTTGGGTCATCTTCACTGCTTTCTCAGGAGCATTAGCATGGAGCTGGATCAGAAGTGGAGTAGCTGGAACTTGAACCAGGGTCCCTGTGGGATGCAAGTGTCAATTTTACCCGCTATGCCACAACACCGGCCCCAACACTCTAGTTTAAAGGGAAGCCACAAGAATTTTTTTTGGTTATTTTTCTATACTGAATCCATTGTTTAGGAACAAAACTGGTAACTGCAAGTGGCAATTTGTGACAATTACCACTACTTTTCAACTCTTAAGAATTCTCAGCTGCAGTCCCTTCTCTTTTTTTAGCTTCTCTGCTAGACACTGAGTACCAGAAAACCAAAACTTCTTGACAGTATTAAAGAATGTACCAGAGTTAAAATGCTTGCAAACCATTTATTTGCAAATATTTGTAAAATTTTCCATGTAAGAAAACAAACATTTAACATAAATAGTTTTGAATCTTATAGATAGTAAAGCTGTCAATTCTAGCTAATTTTTAAGGAAGTGGTACATAAAAACATTTGCATCACTTTTTGGATAGTTTACCTATCTATATATTAAAAGACCATTTAAAGAAATACAAGCCTTCATGAACCAAAGGCAAATTTTATACTATAAAAATCTCTTAAGGGTGCAGTCATTCAACCCAACAATTAAAATACCTGCATCCCACATGGGAGTACTTAAGTTTGATTCCTGCTCCAACTCCTGATTTTAGCTTCCAGCTAATGCTGACTCTGAAGGCAGCAGTGATAGCCAAAGGATTTGGTTCTTGCCACCCAAATTGGGATACCTGGCCTGCACTCCCAGCTCCCAACTTCAGCCTGGGCCTAGTCCTGGCTGTTGAGGGCATTTGGAGAATGCACCAGTGGATGGGAACTGTCTTTATCTCTCTCTCATCTCTCTGCCTCTCAGATAAATAAAATTTTTAAGGACATTCCTTAGGGAAAGGCATTGCAATGTTAATGGGTTAACCTGCCACTTGGGATGGCCACATCCATGTAAGAGTGCCAGGGATCAAGTCCCATTTCTGCTTCTGATCCAGCTTTCTACTAAATGCTTTGGGGAAACAGCAGGTGATGGCCCAAGTACTCAGGTTTCAGCCACCTATGTGAGAAACCTGATGAAGTTTCTGGCTCCTGCCTTAAACCTGGCTCAGACCTGGCTAGCTGTTGCAGCCATTTAGGGAGTGAACCAAGAGATGAAAGAACTCTGTCACTGTGTCTCTCCCTCTTTGTCACCTGCCTTTCAAACAAATAAATAAAGCTTTTTAAAAATCTCTTGAGAAAAATCAACTTTAAAACTAACATGAGGGGGTAGCGCTATGGCGCTGAGGGTTAAAAGCCCCAGTCTGCAGTGCCAGCATCCCATGTGGGCGCTGGTTCAAGTCCCAGCTGCTCCACTTCTGATCCGGGCCCTCTGCTTTGGCTTGCGAAAGCAGTGGAAGATGGCCAAAGTGCTTGGGCCCCTGAACCCTTGTGGGAAACCTAGAGGAAGCTCCTGGCTACTGGCTTTGGATTGGCCCAGTTCCAGCCATTGTGGCCATCTGGGGAGTGAACCAGTGGATGAAAGACCTCTCTCTCTTTTTCTGCCTCTGCCTCTCTGTAACTGCCTTTCAAATAAATGAATAAATATTAAAAAGAAAAAAAAAAACTAACACAAGGTAGGACTGGCATTGTGGCATAGGGCCCCTGCCTGTGGTGCTGGCATTCTATATGGGTGCTTGTTGAGTCCTAGCTGCTCCACTTTTGATCCAGCTTCCTGGAAATGGACTGGGAAAGCAGTGGAAGATGGTCCAGGTGCTTGGATCCCTGCACCCACGTGGGAGACCCAGAGGAAACTCTGGCTTCAGATTGGCCTAGCTCCAATGGAAGTGGAAGGAATATCTCTCTCTCAGTCTGTTCCTCTCTTTCTGTAACTCTGCCTTTCAGATGTAATAAATAAGTCTTTCAAAAAATAGTAACAGGAGGGGCCAGCACTGTGGTGTAGCAGGTAAAGCTGCCACCTGTGATGCTGGCATCACATATGGGTGCCAGTTCATGGCCTAGCTACTCCACTTTTGATCCAGCTCTTTGATAATGGCCTGGGAAAAGCGACAGAAGATGGTCCAAGTGTTTGGCCCTTGCTACCCAAATGAGAGACCCGGATGAAACTCCTTAGTTCTGGCTTCAACTTGGCTTAGCCCTAGCCATTGTGGCCATCTTGGAACCAGGGGATAGAAGACCTCTCTCTGTCTCTATCTCTTTCTCTCTCTCTCTCTCTCTCTCTGTAATACTTTCAAGTAAATAGATATATCTTAAAAAAAAAAAAGACAAAACACCTAGGGGCTGGCACTGTGGTGTAGCAGGATGGGCTGCTGCCTGCAGTGCAGGCAATCCATATGGGCACCAGTGCAAAACCCAGCTGCTCCACTTCCAATTCAGCTCCCTGTTGATGCGCCTGGGAAGGCAGCAGAAGACAGCCCAAGCCCTTGAATCCCTGCACCAATGTGGGAGACCCTGGGAAAGCTCCTGGCTTCTGGCTTTGGATTAGCCCAGCTCCAAACGTTTGGCCATTTGGAGAATGAACCAGCAGACAGAAGACTTCTCTCTCTCTGACTCTGCCTCTCCCTCTCTATGGCAACACCTTTCAAATAAAATAAATCTTTAAAAATAAAAAAAAATAAAAACTGAAAGTTCTTATATTACACGTTTTTCCAAAATCTGAGTTATTTAAAAGTACAAAATAGCAATAACAATTATGCCCATACTAACTTTCATTTTGTTTACTTCATAAAAATAATAATTTTACATAAATAACAATACTGCCTCTGATTTTATATGAAATCATTTTTCTAAAGACTTCATCCACACAAGTCTAAATAAAAGAGATAGCTGTGGCCGGCACCGCAGCTCACTAGGCTTATCCTCCACCTTGCGGCGCCGGCACACTGGGTTCTAGTCCCGGTCGGGGCGCCGGATTCTGTCCCGGTTGCCCCTCTTCCAGGCCAGCTCTCTGCTCTGGCCAGGGAGTGCAGTGGAAGATGGCCCAAGTGCTTGGGCCCTGCACCCCATGGGAGACCAGGAGAAGTACCTGGCTCCTGCCATCGGATCAGCGCGGTGCGCCGGCCGCAGCGCCCCAGCCGCGGCAGCCATTGGAGGGTGAACCAACGGCAAAGGAAGACCTTTCTCTCTGTCTCTCTCTCTCACTGTCCACTCTGCCTGTCAAAAAAAAAAAAAAAAATAATAATAATAATAATAATAATAAAAGAGATAGCTGTAGCAATAAACAAATTTTTAAGAAAATATCTCAATAATTATTTCCTGAAATGATCCCTGGTATGACCTTTTGGTAAATCCAGTAAATGAGTAGAACCTTACTTTAAAACATATACACAGGGGCCTGGCTGTGGCATAATAGGCTAAGCCTCCAGCTGGAGAGACCTGAAAGAAGCTCCTGGCTCCTGGCTTTGGATTGGCCCAGGTCCAGCTGTTGAGGCCATTTGGGGAGTGAACCAGTAGATGGATGGAATGCCTTTCTCTATGTCTCTCCCTCTCTCTCTCTGTAACTCTACCTCTCAAATAAATAAATAAATAAATAAAATCTAAACACACATACACAAAACACACACAATAAAAATAAAGAAAAAATTATGGCAACACATAACACTGGAAATAGGTAGTCCAATAAAGTCAAATTTTATCACTTAATCTCTCTAGCCTTAGGCCGGCGCCACAGCTCAATAGGCTAATCCTCCCCCTGCGGCGCCAGCACACTGGGTTCTTGTCCCGGTCGGGGCACCGGATTCTGTCCCGGTTGCCCCTCTTCCAGGCCAGCTCTCTGCTGTGGCCAGGGTGTGCAGTGGAGGAAGGCCCAAGTGTTTGGGCCCTGCACCCGCATGGGAGACCAGGAGAAGCACCTGGCTTCTGGCTTCGGATCAGCGTGATGCGCTGGCCGCGGCGGCCATTGGAGGGTGAACCAACGGCAAAGGAAGACCTTTCTCTCTGTCTCTCTCTCTCATTGTCCACTCTGCCTGTCAAAAAAATAAAAAATAAAAATAAATAAAATAAATCTCTCTAGCCTTAATAAAAAAAACACTAGGGGCTGGCGCTGTGGTGTAGCGGGTAAAGCTGCCACCTGCAGTGCCAGCATCCCATATGGGAGCCAGTTCGAGTCCCGGCTGCTCCAATTCCGATCCAGCTCTCTGCTATGGCCTAGGAAAGCAGTACAAGATGGCCCAGGTCCTTGTGCCCCTGCACCCGCATAGGAGACCCGGAAGAAGCTCCTGGCTCCTGGCTTCAAATCGGCATAGCTCCAGCCATCATGACCTTCCAGCGAGTGAAACAGCGGATGGAAGACTTCTCTTTCTCAACCTTTGCCTCTGCCTCTCTGTAACTCCTCCTTTCAAATAAATACATCTTTAGGAAAAAAAAAAAAGGAAAAGAAAAGAAAAAACACTAACAGAAGTAAATTTTACTGATGAGAAAAATACAGAAAGTTCATCAGTCAAGATTTTCTATTGATTAGATAGATAAAGCTGCAAGGAGAAAGATTAAGTTAAAAAGTGAGATAGTATGAACCAAAATAACATCCTATTAATGAAGTTTCTAATGAATGAAGGCATGCATTATCAAATTTTCCTCTTTTATGTCTAACCTTCCTGAAAATGTCATATATTTTTCTGACCTTGAACACTTGACTTCTTGGAGTTTTATTCCCATTGTAGCCCATATCAATTCCATTACTGGGGGAGGATGGACCAATCCGAAACACATGACAAAATATTCTCACAATCCTTAACAGACTCTTCATTTGAGCATCATAATTACTAGACAGGCTGAAAATAAAAATTTAAATATGAATAGATTAGGTGAAGTAAAACAAATTATATCTCAAAATATTTTTAAAAACCATTTCATCTTACTTAGAATATGTTTCATAACTAGAGTAAAATTCCTTTCCTATAATAATAGGATATGGAAAGTTTTAACAGGAAGTTCCCAAATATAGATTATTTGGATTACACATGAATGAATTAGCAATTTTAAAGCATCTACAATATAAGCATTTATCAAAGCATAAAATATGAAATTACTTCTGTATATTTCCTTGAGGTATCAATTTCAAAGTAATCCACAACTTTTAGTTCTAAAAGCATATTTATAAATTAAACTGACTGATTAGAATTCTGAATATCTTTCATAGGAAGCAGAGGTATGAATGCTGAAAGACTAAAATTCAATTAATACTATGCCACACTCAAACTTTGACAAACCAAAAAGCCTTTCAGAGTCTCACTGTACATGGGATTGATCATTATCATAAATATCAATCCTTACTTTCCCACTGAGAAACTGTAGGAGTCAGGTTAAATATGTGGAATCTAATAATATATCTTTTAAAAAAAATTTTGTAGTTGTTCAAGTAGTTTTATTTTTAAATCTCTAAATCAGTGTGATGGTTTGGACACTGAATGTCACCCAAGGGCACCTGTGTTGAAGTCTTGAGTCTCTAGGACAGTACTACTGGGAGAGGTGGTAGAACATTTAGGAGATGGGGGCTGGTGGGAAGTCATTAGGTCATTAGGGGCATGACCTCCAAGGAGACTGGGGATCCCAGGTCTCCTCCCTCTCACTGCTCTGGTTTGAGATATGCTAGTTCACTCCAATTTGTGCTCCTGCCATTGCCATTCTCTACCTGACCAGAGGCCAAACCAACGTGCCCCTCTCCCATCCACTGGTTCACTCCCCAAATGGCTGCAATGGCTAGAGCTGGGCCAATCCAAAGCGAGGGGCCAGAAGCCTTCTCAAGGTCTCCCATGTGGATGCAGGGGGCCAACCACTTGGTATATCTTCCTCTGCTTTCCCAAGCACAGTAGCAGGGAGCTGGATTCCAAAGCGGAGCAGCTGGGACTTGAGCCAGCCCCTACAGCACTTTTGATCCAGCTCCCTGATAATATTCCTGGGAAGTAGCAGGTGAGGGCTCAAGTACCTGAGTCACTGCCACCAACATGGGAGATCTGGATAGAGTTCCTGATTCCTTAATTCAGCATGGCCCACTACCAGCTGCTGAAGCCATCTGGGGAGTAAACCAGCAGATGAAAGATCTCTGTATTACTATTCTGTCATTCTGCTTTCCAAACAAATGAGGGGCCAGTGCCGTGGTAAAAAAAAGAGGGGAGGGCAGGGAGCAATCTGTAAAAATACTATTGACATAAGTTAGCACGCAGAAATAATTTGTATTTGAGATTCTCTTACGAATCTGCCAGGGGGAGTGGGGTGCTATGACATAGTAGGTAAAGCTGCCACTTGCAGCACCAGCATCCCATATGGGCACTGGTTCAAGTCCCGGCTGCTCCACTTTCAATCCAGCTCCCTGCCAATGCTCCTGAGAAAGCAGCAGAGGATGGCCCAAGTACTTGGACCCCTGAACCCATATGGGAAACCCAAAAGAAACTCCTGGCTCCTGGCTTAAGATAGGCCCAGCTCCAGCCATTGCAACAATTTGGGGAGTAAACCAGTGGATATAAAATCTTCTCTCTGAGTCTCCCTCTCTCTGTAACTCTGCCTTTCAAATAAATAAATAAATCTTTATGATAAATAAATAAATAAAAAGAATCTACCTGGGGGGAGGGGTGACTATTCAGCTTAGCAGTTAAGATACCTGCATCCCATATTGGAATTGGTTTGATACCTGGCTTTGGCTCCTTACTCCAGTTTCCTGCTAATGCAGACTTGGGAGACAGCAGTGATAAACCAAGTACTTGGATTCCTGCCATCCACATGGGAGATCTGCACTAAGTTCCCAGCTCCTAAGCTACGGCTCTGGTCCAGCCCTGGCTATTGGAGCCATTTGGGGAGTGAACAAGGTGGGTGATCTCTGTGTAGGTATTTATCTGTATCTGCCTCTGTCTCTCCCTTTGTCTCTCTCTGTCTTAATCACTCTCAAATAAATAAATACATAAAATCTACCTTAGTAACACTACAATAAATTCTAACACAACACTAATAATCAATATGCATCATCAATCATAACAAATATTTACAGGCCAAACATGGCCACAATCTTAACATATTCTATAAAGCGCTTGAAAGTCTGCATTTTGAATAGTTAGACAATTCAGTTTAGCAAAAGTTTTGGCCATAGATTCCCTTTTCCTACCCTGTTTCTCCTGTTCCACCAATCTTGCTATCATTTTTAAGAGCTAGATTGGGGGCCAGCGCTGTGCCGCAGCGGGTTAAAGCCCTGGCCTGCAGCGTCAGCATTCCATATGGACGCCAGTTCAAGTCCCAGCTGCTCCACTTCAGATTCTCCACTTCAGACCACTTCCAGGTCTCCCACACAGGTGCAGGGGCATCTTCCACTGATCTCCCAGGCTATCAGCAGGAAGCTGGATCAGAAGTGGAGCAGCCGTGACTTGAACTGGCACCCCTATGGGATGCCAGCGCCGTGGGCGGATGCTTAACCTACTATGCCTCAGCGCCAACCCCAACAATCTGTTCTTTATTTGTGATGACATGAATCCTGGTTCCTCTGTTTATTAGCTTGGTAATCAACTTAAATTTTCTTTTTTGTAAAATGGAGATAATATCTAAATTACAATGTGACAGATGTGAATCACATAATGTATTTGAACATTACTTAGTTTAAGTACCTGCTTAATAAGAAAAAATGTAAACTTAAAATATAGATATTTTATTTTATATAATATAAATATAGATAATTAGTGTGTCTTAAACTTAGAAAGACTTTATCAAGTACCAGGATTTGGGGAACGACTTCAGAGGGGAGTATTATGGAAAGCTGGCATTCCATTAAGTACCAGTATGAATCCCAGCTGCTCTGCTTCCAATCCAGCTCCCTGCTTACGTGCTTGGAAAAGCAGCAGAAGATGGCCCAAGTTCTTTGACTCCTGCCACATATGTGGGAAACCTGGATGGAGTTCCAGGTTCCTGGCTGAGCCCTGGACATTGTGGCCATCTGGGGAATGAACCAACAGATGGATGGAATATCTGTCTCTCCCTTTTTTTTTTTTTTTTAAGATTTATTTATTTATTTGAAAGAGTTACACAGAGAGAGGAGAGGTAGAGAGAGAGAGAAAGGTCTTCCATCCATTGGTTCACTCCCCAAATGGCTGCAATGGCCAAAGCTGCGCCGATCCGAAGCCAGCAGCCAGGAGCTTTTTCCGGGTCTCCAACGCGGGTGCAGGGGCCCAAGAACTTGGGCCATCATCCACTGCTTTCCCAGGCAATAGCAGAGAGCTGGATCAGAAGTGGAGCAGCTGAGTCTCAAACCGGTGCCCATATGGGAAGCTGGCACTACAGGCAGCGGTTTTACACGCTACACCACAGCACTGGCCCATTTCTCCCTTCTAACTCTGCCTTTCAAATAAAAAATAAATCTTTAAAGCAAAAAGAAAATACTATGTATGTAAACTGAAGTAATAAAAAGGCACTGAGGCTGGCGCTGTAGTATAGCAGTTAAGGCACCGCCTGCAGTGCCAGTATCCCATGTGGGCACGGGTTTGGGTCTCAGCTGCTTCACTTCCGGTCCAGCTCTCTGCTATGGCCTAGGAAAGCAATGGAAGATGGCCCAGGTCCTTGGGCCCCTGCACCCATGTGGGAGACACTCGCAGGGCTCCTGGCTCCTGGCTTCAGATAGGCGCAGCTCCGACCACTGTGGCCAATTGGGAAGTGAACCACCAGATAAAAGACTCTCTCTCTCTCTCTCTGCCTTTCCTCTCTCTCTATGTAACTCTGACTTTCAAATAAATAAATAAATCTCTTTTTTTTTAAAAAAAAGGCATTAATTCCATGGATTTAGTGATGAGTCATTAAAACCACAGAACCTTTTGGGAAGAACAAAGACTAAACTGAAGGTCACAATTTAGGGAGAAAACAAAATGAATTATGGAGGAATACTAAAATGTTGAACAGTAGCCTGTATTCTATTCTATAAATTAGTAACCAAGATTCCTGAACTAGTTTCTTGATTCTCTTTCACATACATTTACTTATATGACCAGTCTAAATAGTCATTTCATAAAATTCTAGACACATATGCCCAAATTCAGTTAAGTGTACTCTATTTTTAGTCTCTTTTGAAACACTAAACTCTTTTCTTACAATAGTTGATTATACTGGTCCTTTAAACAAAACAATGAGAAGTCAGCAAATATAACATCTTACCATTGACAAAGACATTCAATAGAATAAACTATTCAGGAGATGACGCCAAAAGACACTAATACCTATTGATCTGCTCTTATTCTGAAACACTCACCTAAGCAGTTTGTGACCATTTGTTGTAGCAACTTCAGCAAGGCTTGTTAGAATCTTTAGGTATTGGCTTTCACTTTGCTGAGACAAATGTTCTAGAACTTGTCGTAACTAGATGTTTTATAAACAAACACAAAAAAAGTGATTATATAGTAATCTGCTAAATTTTACCCAAGAAAAGTATCTGTTAGTCTAATAAGTATCTTAAAGCCAAACAGCTGAAATAAAATCCTTTACAGCTACTGTGCCCTTCATAAATTTAGAGCTAATATAAAGATGATATAAAATTTTTATTTTTTTTACTCTAAAGAACAATAAAATATAGATAGAACAGAAATTGCCAAGTTCATTTAAGGAAATTTAAATCTAAACTTCTAAAATTTAAGAGAATTCTAAACTCTGCCAATTTTTCTTAGAGCTATTCCAAATACAAAACTCAGTCAACTAGTGAATGACCAATCATAACATGATATTCTTTCCCAGATTCTTTTCCTCTGTCCATATTCTAGTTATCTTAAGGAGAGACTAAATCCCAGAGGACAGAAGATTCATGGGCCAAATATTATTAATTACTATATACACAGTTCTTCCTCAATATCCAAGAGACCTTTAAAATAAAAGGTTATGGCATGGTATTTGCATAAAACGTACACACATTCATTCATCCATTCTAGATAATTTGTAATAACTAACATAATCTAAAAGCTATATAAATTATTATTATACTATATTGTTTAGGGAATAATAATAAAGAGTCTATACATGTTCAGTACATCATTTTTAAATATTCCTGAACTGTAGGTTGAATCAATAGAAGTAGAATCCACATATATGGAGAACTGACTATAATTAATACCTATCCTATAATGCAGATAAGCAAATTCAAGTAATTAAAATATTTATAATAAAATTATTGAGCAATTTGTAAAGTGTTATATATGCTAAGCATGAATAAATATTATTCATTTACAAGCTAGTAGCACAATTATGTTACCATATTTTCTCGAAGGTCTTCATTCTGTGTCATTTGAATAATAGTCTGGAAAAGCCTAGGGTGATACTGAATCAATACTTCACAAGTTTCTCCATATCCACCCTAAAAATAAGACTTAAAATTATTCAAGTTTAAAAATAAAGTTCCTTCTAAAGGTCATATTCTTTACAGAATTATAATCTTTGCACTTCATTTAAGAAACAGAGGATTTATCATTCACAGTTTCCAGTATAAATGTAAGCAGCTCAGAATATACCTGTATAAACATATGGGCATATTAAAAACATACCTGTACACATAAATCCAAAGGGGTAACTCCATTTTTATCTGGCAGATATTTGGCTCCTCGTAACAGAAGAATTTGTGCTGTATCTCTTTGTCCATGGCTGTACAGAAAGAGATCAATTTAAAATACCATTCTTTTGAAGTTTTTCCCATGAATTATGGATGGTTAACATAAATCAGTGGAAGACATAATTTTAAAAAACTAAAACAGGAAGAGCTTAGCTTTATCTTCAGTAATCAGGAAAATTTCCCAGTTTTATCATACTTTCATTATATGGATGAGAAACCAACTTATTAAATCTTAGAATTCAACTTGGGTCACATCATCTTCAGTAAGTCATAATATTTGGGGATGGCTACCTACTGCTGAGGGTTATTCTTTATTTCTGCCTTCCACTAAATCCCTTTCTTGGCTCTAGCTTGACCTTCTTCCTATCACACACATCAAATTCTCGACATTTCTAATTTCAAAAGAAACTTAATCCTCAAAATGAGTATAGTCTATGGTACTTTAATATTCTGTAAAAACACTACAAAGGAGAAAATAGTTTCAAAGTAAGATAATAAAGGTGGAAATGTACGGAGTTTTTAGCAAAAAAAAAAAAAAAAACTATCTAGCTTGTAATCTTTACCAATCCATTCAGTTTGGTTTCTGCTGATAGCTAGCTACTCAATCTAGGCTAGAATAAACAACTCTCCTATCAATATGCCTCATTCTCTGATTGCTCTCTTTCTTATAGAAGCAAAATCAATTAACTACAATTTTTTTGACTAGGACGAAGCTAATTTTTGGGTGGCAACTTCTTTTTCAGTGAGCTCCTTTGAATCCAGATAAGGGGAAAACAAACAAACAAACAAACAAACAAAAAATATATATAGGCTGGCCTTACAGCATAGTGGGTGGGTTAAGCCGCTGCTGTCAATGCTGGCATCACAAAACAGTGCTGTTTTGTGTGCCGGTTGCTCCACTTCCAAACCAGCTCCCTACTAATGGCCTGGGAAAATCAGTGATGGATGGCCCAACTGCCTGGGTCCCTGCCCACCAATGTGGAAACCAAGATATGGTTCCTGGCTCCTGGCTTTGGTCTGGTCAAGCACTGGCCATTGTGGCCATTGGGGAATGAGTCAGCAGACAGAAAATTTCACTCTCTGTCTCTGTCGCTACCTCTCTATGTAATTCTGACATTCAAACTAAATAAGTCTTTAAAAAATTTAATAAAAATAAAAACATATATACAATCTAGGAACACTAAAGTTTAACACTGATTTTAAGAAACACCCAAGAAAGTCATCCAATGAATATTTAATCTGAAAGATTTACTTTGTAGGTGACAAAAAGCACCTAATCCAAACACAGGTGAACCCAGACAGCTGGGCTTCTAGACCAGTACTCTTTCCATTATAACAATAACTAAAGGAGTATGTCATTTCACAAAGAGAACAACTGGCCATATTTATCATTCTATCTCACAAACCATTCTTTCTCACAAGATGGCACTAAATGAAGAACCATTTCTAACCAGTTAAACACTGTTTTAAAAAATAGGATCCTACAGTAAATCTAGTACCAGAAAATCTCACTAATAGTTATTACAGATGTGTCACTTTCAATACTTCATTATAATAATAATCACTTTCCTTAAGACAAATACCAATTGGACACAACTAACTTAAGAGTAATACACAATTTTCTCCAAAAAAGGCAGAAAACCAAGAAGCCAAGTAAATCAGCAACCCCTCTGAAAGCAACAGTAATTAGTTTTACTAATGTACAGGAAGATGTCTTCATCAAGAATCATTTGCCATTAAGCTGTTAATGTTGGTCAAGATATTATATCCTACAATTTACAATCACAATTTATACTATTACGGGGCCAGTGCTGTGGTGCAACAGTTTAAAGCCCTGGCCTGAAGCACAGGCATCCCATATGGACTAGTCTCGGCTGCTCCTCTTCCCATCCAGCTCTTTGCTATGGCCTGGGATAGCAGTGGAAGATGGTCCAGGTCCTTGGACCCCTGCACACGTGTAGGAGACCTGGAAGAAGCTCCTGGCTCCTGGCTTCAGATCGGCTCAACTCCAGCCACTGCGGCATCTGGGGAGTGAACCAATGGATGGAAAACCTCTCTCTCTGTATCTACCTCTCTCTATATAACTCTTTCAAATAAATAATTCTTTTTTAAAAATTTACACTATTATGTTCTTTAACATGTCTAAAAATAAAGGGCCACAGAAAAGCAGCTAACTTGAGCTTAATTTACTTAAGGAGACAGTTTTATACTGGCTAAAACCAAGGTTCTAAGGAATCCATGTTATAAAGCTACTCAATTCAATTTTAATGCTAGTTTACATTTTTTAGTTACTTAATATCCATCTGTCCAATCACTGCAATTAAATTGCAAACTTCTTAACAGTAGACTTGTTCCATAGGGCCAAACAAGGTAGTTGCCTGCTAACATGTACTAAACACAAAAAATTTATTACAGGCTCTAACTTTAGATACCATTCATTTGGCAAATATGTCTTAAAGACACTATTAAAATAACAAGAGACTTGAAGCACTATTTAGAATATACTATGCAACAAACACTATACTCAGTTCTTTTGTCCAGACTGACTTAACTCTGATTCCAGTATAAAATTATGTTAGCAGGAGGTTATTGGGATGAGGTTATCCTTGTACTTTGAAGTCTTCTGCAAAAAATGTAAGCCTAAGTTTAATAATAATTAGTATTTCAAGAAAGTATGATATAAGGCACAGAGGGTATGTGCTATGAGAATAATACATTGGAGATCATACAGTATGAACAGACAAAATTAACATGCACACATGGGATACTGTTCAATACACAGGATAAGAAAGAGTCTGTAAATAGTTACTTTTATATACAGGAAAGAGAATGATTAGCATGAGGAAAAAAGAAAACCACTATTAACACTTTTAGAAAGCTGAAGTAACTTCTAAAGCTATATGAAAATCTCATTTATGATAAGGTGACATTTCATTTCAAAAGTACACAAAATCTGCATAATACAATTAGGGCTTCAAGTACCTCATCTATACTACACCAACAGGTTAGAACTATCTGATGACAGACTACTCAATGCTTCATAAAAGATTTTTCAGTTCAAATAACTACAAAGATTTACTCATACAATAATCACTGTTTACATTTGATGTTATTTTTTTCAAAATTTGAGATAGAGAGCAAGCTGCCATCCTGGTTCATTCACCAAATGTCTCCATCAGCTGGGGCTGGGAACAGGTCTATGGGCTGCAGTCAGGTACCAATAACTCAATCCAGGCCCCTCATTGTGGGTGGCAGGGACCAAATACTTGAGCCATCATCTGCTGCCTCCCAGGGTCTACATAAGCAGGAAGCTGCAATCAGAATCAGAGCTGGGACTGGAACCCAGGTATTCCAACATGGGATGCTGACATCTTAAACAGTGTTTTAACCACTAAGCCAAATGCTTGCTTCAAAGTTGCTTTTTTATGTTGATTGGGGAAGTACTCTTTCCAAAGAAATACCAACCTGTTTTATGTAAACTAAGAAAGCTGGCAACAATTTAATTTGTAAGAAACTTATTGGGACTGGCACTGTGGCTCAGTAGGTTAGCTGCTGGCTGCAATGGCAGCATCCCATATGAGCAATGGCTCACGTCCTGGCTGCTCCACCTCCAATGCAGCTCTCTGCTAATGAGCAGTGGAAATGTCCCAAGTACTTGAGCCTCTGCCACCCACCTGGGAGATGCAGATGGAGTTCCAGGCTCCTGGTTTCAGCCTGGCCCAGTCTCAGCTGTTGTGGCCATTTGGGGAATGAATGATCGGATGGAAGATTAATCAATCAATTTCTCTCTCTCTCTGATCCTGCCTTTCAAATAAGTAACTCTTTTTTAAAAAGAAAAGAAATTTATAGTGGCTTCTAAAGCAGTTAGAACTAATTTCTCAAATACCTTCAGTCTTAGGAATTTGAAAATTTGCCCAGAGTATATATAGTTGCAATAGTTTTTACAATTGCTTATGAACCAAAGAAACCATACTTTCTCCAAAGTCTTCTCTTATTCTCAAAGCTTACAATTTCAAGTCTAAGGGTTGTTTTATATAGCTATTTTGATTCTGAGTTTTCTAATTAAAAGAAGTTACCTATCAGTGGCTACAAATCTATATACTTGTTCTTACTTTTTTCTGTTAGAAACCTTTACAACTCCATAAACATCTCAGTAATTTACTGTTACCTACACAATTTCAATTAAATCTTGCCTTTCCTAACAGAAGAAAGGCTATCCACAGATTAAAAAAATACTTGAAATCATTACACATCCAAATCTTTATTTGAAAAACTTTGCTGAAGGAATGAGGGGTATTATAACCAAATATAAAATCAATCTACTAATGTAAGAACCTGAAGTATTACTATCAGTCATACAAAAGACCTGAAAACAAAGTTGTGTAAAGTTGTCAGATGAAAAAAAAATCAACAGTGTGCCAATATTTTACAGAATAGAAACCTAATGGTTATGTCTTATCCAGAGTACCTAGAAAAGAAGAAGAGTGGCTGGAAAACCCTTCCTGTCAAAGTTTTAAAGTCAAAATCAATATGAGAATGACTCACTGAAGCCCTACATGATTAGAATAGAGGCAATACAAAGAAAATGTTGGCAAGGTAGAATAATTATATTTCTCAGAAAGAAAGTCTTATATAGGAAACAAATTAAATGAGGACAATATAATGTTATGTTCACTGGGGAGTGGAGAAGTATACTAGTGCTCAGTAGCACTAAGTGCTAAATACTCTGCAGAATGTTTTACATAACACGTCATTTAGTTCTCAGCATTTCCATCTCACCAAAAAGAAAAAAAAGCTTTGGAGGTCAAAAAACTTGACTAAAGTTGTATAGCTTTAGTGTTGGAATTTTAACCCTGACTCCAAAAACTAGGCTCTCTCCTATCTCAATACCATCTACTATAAACTTCAAACAAAAAAAGACAGTCAGAGTGAGTGTTGTGGCATGGTGAGTTGGGCCACTGCCTATAATGCCCACACCCCACATGAGAGAGCCAATTCTAGTCTCGGCTGCTCCACTTCCAATCCACCTTCC